GGGGGGAGCTAGATAAGTGTCCCTTTATATAAGGAAAGGGGACAAAAGATAAATTGTAAAAATTTATAGGAATATTTACTGAATATACAGGAAAAGTACACGGTAAGGGTTATAATTGAAAGAATAGGGGGTAAGACAAATGTAGGGTTACGGTTATGAGCAGGGAGGCTTCGAGGGGGGTAGGGGATGTGTAGATCAATTGTTTACATTGAAGCATATATGTAACAGTATTTAGATAAAGGTAGGGAAGTTTTTATTGCATTTATGGATTTAGAAAAGGCATATGATAGAGTGGATAGAGGAGCAATGTGGCAAGTATATGGAATAGGTGGTAAGTTACTAAATGCTGTAAAGAGCTTTTATGAGGATAGTGAGGCTCAGGTTAGGGTGTGTAGAAGAGAGGGAGAATACTTCCCGGTAAAAGAAGGTCTTAGACAGGGATGTGTAATGTCACCATGGTTGTTTAATATATTTATAGATGGGGTTGTAAAAGAAGTAAATGCTAGGGTGTTCAGGAGAGGGGTGGGATTAAATTATGGGGAGTCAAATTCAAAATGGGAATTGACACAGTTACTTTTTGCTGATGATACTGTGCTTATGGGAGATTCTAAAGAAAAATTGCAAAGGTTAGTGGATGAGTTTGAGAATGTGTGTAAAGGTAGAAAGTTGAAAGTGAACATAGAAAAGAGTAAGGTGATGAGAGTATCAAATGATTTAGATAAAGAAAAATTGGATATCAAATTGGGGAGGAGGAGTATGGAAGAAGTGAATGTTTTCAGATACTTGGGAGTTGACGTGTCGGTGGATGGATTTATGAAGGATGAGGTTAATCATAGAATTGATGAGGGAAAAAAGGTGAGTGGTGCGTTGAGGTATATGTGGAGTCAAAAAACGTTATCTATGGAGGCAAAGAAGAGAATGTATGAAAGTATAGTAATACCAACACTCTTATATGGATGTGAAGCTTGGGTGGTAAATGCAGCAGCAAGGAGACGGTTGGAGGCAGTGGAGATGTCCTGTCTAAGGGCAATGTGTGGTGTAAATATTATGCAGAAAATTCGGAGTGTGGAAATTAGGAGAAGGTGTGGAGTTAATAAAAGCATTAGTCAGAGGGCAGAAGAGGGGTTGTTGAGGTGGTTTGGTCATTTAGAGAGAATGGATCAAAGTAGAATGACATGGAAAGCATATAAATCTATAGGGGAAGGAAGGAGGGGTAGGGGTCGTCCTCGAAAGGGTTGGAAAGAGGGGGTAAAGGAGGTTTTGTGGGCGAGGGGCTTGGACTTCCAGCAAGCATGCATGAGCGTGTTAGATAGGAGTGAATGGAGACAAATGATACTTGGGACCTGACGATCTGTTGGAGTGTGAGCAGGGTAATATTTAGTGAAGGGATTCAGGGAAACTGGTTATTTTCATATAGTCGGACTTGAGTCCTGGAAATGGGAAGTACAATGCCTGCACTTTAAAGGAGGGGTTTGGGATATTGGCAGTTTGGAGGGATATGTTGTGTATCTTTATACGTATATGCTTCTAAACTGTTGTATTCTGAGCACCTCTGCAAAAGCAGTGATAATGTGTGAGTGTGGTGAAAGTGTTGAATGATGATGAAAGTATTTTCTTTTTGGGGATTTTCTTTCTTTTTTGGGTCACCCTGCCTCGGTGGGATACGGCCGGTGTGTTGAAAGAAGAATATATATATATATATATATATATATATATATATATATATATATATATATATTTCTTCTTTCTTTCAACACACCGGCTGTATCCCACCGAGGCAGGGTGGCCCAAAAGGAAAAACGAAAGTTTCTCCTTTTACATTTAGTAATATATACAGGAGAAGAGGTTACTAGCCCCTTGCTCCCGGCATTTTAGTCGCCTCTTACAACACGCATGGCTTACGGAGGAAGAATTCTGTTCCACTTCCCCATGGAGATAAGAGGAAATAAACAAGAATAAGAACTAGAAAGAAAATAGAAGAAAACCCAGAGGGGTGTGTATATATATGCTTGTACATGTATGTGTAGTGTGACCTAAGTGTAAGTAGAAGTAGCAAGACGTACCTGAAATCTTGCATGTTCATGAGACAGAAAAAAGGACACCAGCAATCCTACCATCATGTAAAACAATTACAGGCTTTCGTTTTACACTCACTTGGCAGGACGGTAGTACCTCCCTGGGCGGTTGCTGTCTACCAACCTACTACCTATAACTACAATACTTTTTAATACTTATTAGTCCAAAATGGTCCTAAACTCAGACTTAACTGTATAGGTAGTGGAGCCCTGACAGGGGTAGACAATGTATTTACTAAGGAAGAAGACTATAAAGCAAAATAACTTTTGTTTATAAAAGCTAATTATTATTTTTATTTTTTATTATCACACCGGCCGATTCCCACCAAGGCAGGGTGGCCCGAAAAAGAAAAACTTTCACCATCATTCACTCCATCACTGTCTTGCCAGAAGGGTGCTTTACACTACAGTTTTTAAACTGCAACATTAACACCCCTCCTTCAGAGTGCAGGCACTGTACTTCCCATCTCCAGGACTCAAGTCCGGCCTGCCGGTTTCCCTGAATCCCTTCATAAATGTTACTTTGCTCACACTCCAACAGCACGTCAAGTATTAAAAACCATTTGTCTCCATTCACTCCTATCAAACACGCTCACGCATGCCTGCTGGAAGTCCAAGCCCCTCGCACACAAAACCTCCTTTACCCCCTCCCTCCAACCCTTCCTAGGCCGACCCCTACCCCGCCTTCCTTCCACTACAGACTGATACACTCTTGAAGTCATTCTGTTTCGCTCCATTCTCTCTACATGTCCGAACCACCTCAACAACCCTTCCTCAGCCCTCTGGACAACAGTTTTGGTAATCCCGCACCTCCTCCTAACTTCCAAACTACGAATTCTCTGCATTATATTCACACCACACATTGCCCTCAGACATGACATCTCCACTGCCTCCAGCCTTCTCCTCGCTGCAACATTCATCACCCACGCTTCACACCCATATAAGAGCGTTGGTAAAACTATACTCTCATACATTCCCCTCTTTGCCTCCAAGGACAAAGTTCTTTGTCTCCACAGACTCCTAAGTGCACCACTCACTCTTTTTCCCTCATCAATTCTATGATTCACCTCATCTTTCATAGACCCATCCGCTGACACGTCCACTCCCAAATATCTGAATACGTTCACCTCCTCCATACTCTCTCCCTCCAATCTGATATTCAATCTTTCATCACCTAATCTTTTTGTTATCCTCATAACCTTACTCTTTCCTGTATTCACCTTTAATTTTCTTCTTTTGCACACCCTACCAAATTCATCCACCAATCTCTGCAACTTCTCTTCAGAATCTCCCAAGAGCACAGTGTCATCAGCAAGGAGCAGCTGTGACAACTCCCACTTTGTGTGTGATTCTTTATCTTTTAACTCCACGCCTCTTGCCAAGACCCTCGCATTTACTTCTCTTACAACCCCATCTATAAATATATTAAACAACCACGGTGACATCACACATCCTTGTCTAAGGCCTACTTTTACTGGGAAAAAATTTCCTTCTTTCCTACATACTCTAACTTGAGCCTCACTATCCTCGTAAAAACTCTTCACTGCTTTCAGTAACCTACCTCCTACACCATACACTTGCAACATCTGCCACATTGCCCCCCTATCCACCCTGTCATACGCCTTTTCCAAATCCATAAATGCCACAAAGACCTCTTTAGCCTTATCTAAATACTGTTCACTTATATGTTTCACTGTAAACACCTGGTCCACACACCCCCTACCTTTCCTAAAGCCTCCTTGTTCATCTGCTATCCTATTCTCCGTCTTACTCTTAATTCTTTCAATTATAACTCTACCATACACTTTACCAGGTACACTCAACAGACTTATCCCCCTATAATTTTTGCACTCTCTTTTATCCCCTTTGCCTTTATACAAAGGAACTATGCATGCTCTCTGCCAATCCCTAGGTACCTTACCCTCTTCCATACATTTATTAAATAATTGCACCAACCACTCTAAAACTATATCCCCACCTGCTTTTAACATTTCTATCTTTATCCCATCAATCCCGGCTGCCTTACCCCCTTTCATTTTACCTACTGCCTCACGAACTTCCCCCACACTCACAACTGGCTCTTCCTCACTCCTACAAGATGTTATTCCTCCTTGCCCTATACACGAAATCACAGCTTCCCTATCTTCATCAACATTTAACAATTCCTCAAAATATTCCTTCCATCTTCCCAATACCTCTAACTCTCCATTTAATAACTCTCCTCTCCTATTTTTAACTGACAAATCCATTTGTTCTCTAGGCTTTCTTAACTTGTTAATCTCACTCCAAAACTTTTTCTTATTTTCAACGAAATTTGTTGATAACATCTCACCCACTCTCTCATTTGCTCTCTTTTTACATTGCTTCACCACTCTCTAATTAATATTACTGAATTCATTGAAAGTGCTAGACCAGTAATGGTCATATAGCACCTGTGGAATGAGAGAGAGTGGCTTATGCACTGGCCTGGAGTTTTACCACTCACTCAACATAGGTTCAAACCCTACCTGTAATGCTGGTTTGAGAGATAATCAGGTTTGATCCAAGGAAGGAGAGGGGAGCTCCAATTGCCTCAAAGCAAGAGCACTTCCCCACAGTAGCAGATTTAGAGGGCCGGGGAGTCCTAAGCAGAACATTTAGGAGGCCCTATGGTGTGTAGTTGCAGTGGATGTAACAACTACCATCAGAACTATGAAATCATTATTCAATGTTAATACTGAAAATAAAGCATTTTACCATGGTAACAATAAAACCAAATGACTGCCACTGCAACTCACTGGGAGTCAAGTAACAAATAGTTAATTTGAGGCCCCTGAGCAGCTGTTTAGTCTGCTTATCAGTAAATTCGCCACTGCTTCACCAGTATCAAAGAGATCCCCTTGAGAATTTGAAAGAGCAGAATGAACTTAATGATAATGATCTTACCTATCTCTGACAGATGATTCCCATCAGCATCTGTGGTGGATGTCTTACTGTATGTTTCCTTTAGACCCAGCTCAACGAGTGTATCTTCCTTCAGCTGCTTTAGAGCCTTATCAACATCTTCTGGAAGTGACATCTGAACAAGGTGGATAGCTTTCTCTGGCTCTTTGCCATCACCTGAGAATTGATAAAGGAAGATCAGACTTTGTCAAGAAACATCAAAAGTTACTTTGATGTATTGTCTAGGAAGATTAGAAGAAGGAGGTTCACATAAACCTTCTTCTTCTAATCTTCCTAGACGATACATCACTGCCCTTAAGGACCTCGCCAAAAGTTACTTTAAAACATAACTCAGGGATTTACATGTATCTCATAAGTAGTTCTCTATTAATAAATAAGGTATCCATGTTAAATTGCTAAAATTTTCTGCAATTACTCAGGGAGCCAAGACGACAAAAGCTAAGTAACCAAAAATATTAGGCACTATATTTTGCATCAGCACTTACCAAGTTGTAATGAGGTACAACAAATTCGAAACAAACGTGTCCCTAGGGCTAAGATACACCCAGAAATCAGTAAATCATATAAAATGTCCTGGTACTTGTCTATCAGAACAAACCTGTCTCATTCAATACTTGATTATAAAATTAGATATGTAACCAAGTGGGAAGTTACAAGGAATTTTAATTTTTATTTTGTGGAAAAAACCCTGCTTTCTCACACATTATATTATCACTTTAATGTACACCTTCAGCCACTCATACAACAACTTAACCTAAATCTTAGAATCAAGAAGCCAAAAAAGTTTGGCTCAGCACAACTTTTCTCTGGTACAGTATTATTTATATATAACTTGAAAAAACATTGGACCCACTTTATCATGCATACCTCAATGCACCAAATATTGTTTATAATGCACTTAAAACTTTTCTTTTCTACATGCATTGCAATAAGTCTATTATTTGCCTAATATTTAAGCCAAATCACTTCTTTTTCTTATCAGATATTGTACTTTCTGATCTAGAGGCCAGAACATCACCAAACAGAAGTGCATTCAAAATAAGCAACTCTGATCATGGTAATAAAAACAAAAGAAAATTTGTCCAATTTAGAAAGTTTATGGAGTCTTTTGAGATTTTGGTTTGATTTACCCCAAGAGAACAACTAAGAAGAATTTCAGTTTCCTGAAGTTTTAAGATTCCTGTCAAAAATCAGTCCTATTGTATTTAAAACTTCTGAAAAATTATAGCACTACTGTACATGCATAATTTTTATTTCACAAAACCTTTCTTAAATTACTTTACACTAATGACAACCTTGTGTGACTCAGTCTGTTTCATGCTATCAGACAACCAAAAAATTAGGATGACACATAAATACGGAAATAAACCGATAAGTGGGTTGACACTGCTGGTCATAGTCTTCTCAGCATCTTTCATAGTTTAACCTTAAAATTTCCTACACTGTTACAGTAAGAGAATTTGGAAAATATGACGATCACAGTACCTACCCATAGCAACAGCTTTGACCTTATAATACTGCTGTAATAGGTGACTGTCAACGTCTCGCTTCTCGGGAGGAAGGGCAGTGACAACAGGTGATGCATTTGCAAGACGTTGAGACTCGTATTTTACATCAACCACATCACGTTCCGAAGAATAGAAGTCCAAACCCATCTAAAAAACAAAAATTTGAGTCAAAAATTACTTTACAGAAAAATGAGAAAAGATAAGAAGGCTACAGCAATTTTTGATACAAACAATGGAGCAGATGAAAGCACAAGTGAAATAATGTAGGCAAGAGCCTGAGGTGTTTTTTCAACTCAGATGTCCAGGGCTCATGCACTACATATTTCTTCTTGAGGCACTTTGATTCTATTAATACCTCTTCCCCCAGTGGTCTTATATATTTATTTTTTGTTAAATACTCTATGTTCTAGTGTAAATGGATCATGGGAACAAATGTGGGAAATCATTTAATGACTTTTGACACTGATGACACTTATTGTACCAAAAAATTCCTACGACTGTTTGCAGCTCAGTGGCTATTGCAATGGGATAGAAAAAACATAGCAATCATGAATGGGCAGTAAAAAACATGTAACAATAACAAAAACAATAACAAAGAGACAGAAAATGTCTAGGTTTAGTTTTTTTGTTTTTTAACAAGTCGGCTGTCTCCCACCGAGGCAGGGTGACCCAAAAGAAAGAAAATCCCCAAAAAGAAAATACTTTCATCATCATTCAATACTTTCACCTCACTCATACATGATCACTGTTTTTTCAGAGGCACCCAGATACAACAGTTTAGAAGCATATATAAAGACATATAACATATCCCTCCAAACTGCCAATATCCCAAACCCCTTCTTTAAAGTGCATGCATTGTACTTCCCATTTCCAGTACTCAAGTCTGGCTATATAAAAATAACCAGTTTCCCTGAATCCCTTCACTAAATATTACCCTGCTCGCACTCCAAGAGCTCGTCAGGTTCCAAAAACCATTCGTCTCCATTCACTCCTATCTAACACGCTCAAGCACGCTTGCTGGAAGTCCAAGCCCCTTGAGCACAAAACCTCCTTTATCCCCTCCCTCCAACCTTTTTGAGGACAACCACTACCCTGCCTTCCTTCTCCTACAGATTTACATGCTCTCCATGTCATTCAACTTTGATCCATTCACTCTAAATGACCAAACCACCTCAACAAACCCTCTTCAGCCCTCTGACTAATACTTTTACTAACTCCACACCTTCTCCTAATTTCCACACTCCGAATTTTCTGCATAATATTTACACCACACACTGCCCTTAGACAGGACATCTCCACTGCCTCCAACTGCCTCCTCACTGCAGCATTTACAACCCAAGCTTCACACCCATTTAAGAGAGTTGGTACCGCTATATTTTCATACATTCCCTTCTTTGCCTAAGTAGATAATGTTTTTTGTCTCCACATATACCTCAATGCACCACTCACTTTTTTTTCCTTCATCAATTTTATGGTTAACCTCATCCTCCATAAACCCATCCCCTGACACGTCAACTCCAAAATATCTCAAAACATTCACTTCTTCCATACTCCCTCTCTCCAATGTGATATCCAATTTTTCTTTATCTAAATCATTTGATACTCTCATCACCTTACTCTTATTTATGTTCACTTTCAACTTTCTACCATTACACACCCTCCCATTAAAATGTACATTCACTTTCCTTCAGCTAGCACTAAACTGCCAATAATCTGAGTCAACTGTGGAAGCAGTTCTCTGAGAGAGGTGTTAAATTCACAAGATCACAACTATCATCTTGTATTTTTCTAGCTATAGCTCTGTACTAATCATTTGCATATTATAACTGGCCCTTGCCATGACTGGATCTTAAAGACAGAGAAATCAACCTTATAATCCTTGATAGTCAAATGTTTTGGGAATAATTCCAAGTAATATTATATGTTACTGTTTTACATGACTTAAGTCATAAACTATGGGAGGACATGCATTGTTAATTACCCAGAGTCTATTAATTTGGAAGGAAAAAATTACAGTTACCCATGATGTACTGCATGGACCAGCACGGGCCTACACTGTTTTCCTCAGCGTCAGGTGGTGACAGGCAATCCAAATAGCTGAGCCAAGGCCTAAAATAGCAGTGCATGGCACATTTGAATGTGCAAAAAATTACACATATACATGTATATGTATCAGATGTAGGTAATAGGTTGGTAGACAGCAACCACCCAGGCGGGTACTACCGTCCTGCCAAGTGAGTGTGATATGAAAGCCTAGAATTGTTTTACATGATGGTAGGATTGCTGGTGTCCTTTTTTCTGTCTCATAAACATGCAAGATTTCAGGTACGTCTCGCTACTTCTACTTACACTTAGGTCACACTACACATACATGTACAAGCATATATATGCTACACACACCCCTCTGGGTTTTCTGCTATTTTCTTTCTAGTTCTTGTTCTTTTTCATTTCCTCGTATCTCCATGGGGAAGTGGAGCAGAATTCTTCCTCCGTAAGCCATGCGTGTTGTAAGAGGCGACTAAAATGCCGGGAGCAAGGGGCTAGTAACCCCTTCTCCTGTATAAATTCCTAAATTTAAAAAGAGAAACTTTTGTTTTTCTTTCTGGGCCACCCCACCTCAGTGGGATACGGCTGGTACGCTGAAAGAAGAAAAGTATTGCTGGTGTCTTTTTTCTGTCTCATAAACATGCAAGATTTCAGGTACGTTTTGCTACTTCTTCTTACACTTAGGTCACACTACACATACATGTGCAAGCATATATATATATATATATATATATATACACACCCCTCTGGGTTTTCTTCTATTTTCTTGCTAGTTCTTGTTCTTGTTTATTTCCTCTTATCTCCATGGGGAAGTAGAACAGAATTCTTCCTCCGTAAGCCATGCGTGTTGTAAGAGGCGACTAAAATGCCGGGGGCAAGGGGCTAGTAACCCCTTCTCTTGTATAAATTACTGAATTTAAAAAGAGAAACTTTCATTTTTCTTTTTGGGCCACCCTGCCTTGGTGGGATACGGACGGTTTGTTGAAAAAAAAAATGTATCAGTTTGATCCATGAGTAAATTTACATCACACACAGTGAAAGGGATAAGTACTTGTACAGATAAATTATCAATTTTACTTTTATTTTTATTATTATTTTTTTAACACACCAGCTGTTTCCTACCAAGGCAGGATGACCCGAAAGAGAAAACAAAAGTTTTCTTCTTTTTACATTTAGTAATTTATACAGGAGACGGTGTTACTAGCCCCTTTGCTCCTGGCATTTTTGTCACCTCTTACAATACTCATGGCTTACAGAGGAAGAATTCTTCTCCACTTTCCTATGGAATAATATTATTATTATTATTATTATAGCTAGGGGTAAGTCTGGGAAATTGTGATAACCAGATTTACCTAAAGGAACAGGAGTAAAAATCCAAGATAATTTATCAGAATAAATGTTGGTGTACACAAACTTAGAAAATGACATTCACCAACCTCACTAGAAGTGGCAACATGATGGTAGGCCCCTTCAATTTCCATCTTGCGAAAAATGTATGCTGGGTCAGGATTGTCTACACTGGTCCGAAATTTCTCCACCAAGTCCACAAGTTCTTGATATTCACTTCTGATAAGACGGATCTTGAAGAAGTGCCTAAGAGATCAAATACATTCTGTAGTGGGCATCCTTAAAATGGTTACCATCTTAAGGATAAAAATACTGTAGCTAATTTTATTTCCCAGTAAAAGTAGGCCTTAGACAGGGATGTGTGATGTCACCATGGTTATTCAATATATTTATAGATGGAGTAGTAAGAGAAGTGAATGCTCAGGTGTTGGCAAGAGGTGTGGGGTTAAAAGATAAAGAATCTAACACAAGGTGGGAGTTGTCACAGTTGCTCTTTGCTGATGACACTGTGCTTTTGAAGATTCTGAAGAGAAGTTGCAGAGGTTGGTTGATGAGTTTGGTAGGGTATGCAAAAGAAGGAAGTTAAAAGTGAATATAGGAAAGATTAAGGTGATGAAGGAGGGGTGTTAATGTTGCAGTTTAAAAACTGTAGTGTAAAGCACCCTTCTGGCAAGACAGTGATGGAGTGAATGATGGTGAAAGTTTTTCTTTTTCGGGCCACCCTGCCTTGGTGGGAATCGGCCAGTGTGATAATAATAAAAATAATAATAAGGTGATGAGAATAACAAAAATGGATGCCAGATTGGAGGGGGAGAGTATGGAGGAGGTGAATGTGTTCAGATATTTGGGAGTGGACGTGTCAGCAGATGGGTCTATGAAGGATGAGGTGAATCATAGAATTGACGAGGGAAATAAGGTGAGTGGTGCACTGAGGAGTCTGTGAAGACAAAGAACTCTATCCATGAAAGCAAAGAGGGGAATGTATGAGAGTATAGTTATACCAACTCTCTTGTACAGGTGTGAGGCATGGGTTGTGAATGTTGCAACAAGAAGAAGGCTGGAGGCAGAGGAGATGTCATGTCTGAGGGCAATGTGTGGTGTGAATATAATGCAGAGAATCCGTAGTCTGGAGATTAGGAGGAGGTGTGGAATTACCAAAACTATTATCCAGAGAAATGAGGAGGAGTTATTGAGATGGTTTGGACATGTAGAGAGGTTGGAACAAAATAGAATGACTTTGAGCGTATACAAGTCTGTAGTGGAAGGAAGGCTAGGTTGGGGTCGGCCTAGGAGAGGCTGGAGGGAGGTGGTAAAGGAGGTTTTGTGTGTGAGGGGCTTGGACTTCCAGCAAACATGTGTGAACATGTTAGACAGAAGCAAATGAAGACAAATGGTTTTTAGGACTTGACGTGCTGTTGGAGTGTAAGTAAGGTAACATTTATGAAGGGATTCAGAGAAACCAGCAGGCCGAACTTGAGTCCTGGAGATGGGAAGTACAGTATCTGCACTCTGAAGGGTGTTAATGTTGCAGTTTTATAACTGTAGTGTAGGCATGCCTCTGGCAAGATAGTGATGGAGTGAATGGCAATGAAAGTTTTTCTTTTTCAGGTCACCCTGCCTTGGTAGGAAATGGCTGATGTGTTAATAAAAAAAATAAAACCTTTTAATTCATTGCAAGGCAGCATAAAATCTGCTTTCACAGAACAGTGGAACAATGGAATGGTTCAGAAGAGGAGGTAGCAAATGCTACTACCACTGGAAATTTAAAAGAATATTGCATGATGAATTAATTGTTGTAGACGACACTACAGGAGAGCCTCGCTTTAGAGTGATTCATTAATAAAGCAGTTTTCAGTTATACCCATTCTTCATTTATTCAGGCTACCTACAATAAATATATTCACCACTTGCTATAAGCTAAGGGCAAAAATATCTTAAGTAATGTGTACTGTATATGCATTTTTTTGGCCTAGCTCTTATGCTCACTAAATATATTATAGTGTAAACATATTATCAGGCTTTTGTATGCACTTGAAAGTGAAAAAAAGGCTATGTTTCACTTTACAGCAGCAGTCTGGAACTTAACCTGCTGTATAAGTGGGGCCCTCCTGTAAGAGCACAGCCCTGCTCCTGTAACTGTAAATAGGAAATTTTTTTTAACACCAGCCATTTCCCACCAAGGCAGGATGACCCATAAAAGAAGAAATGAGTGTTTCTTCTTTTCACATTTAGTAATTTATACAGGAGAAGGGGTTAAATAGGTAATTACAGCTCTCAATTGCTAACAGGGCTTGGTGTTGTGCCTTTTTGATACCTATTTCTTGTGAGTCCTTTCTCTGAATTGGTTCTTAACCTGTAGTACTCTTTTGTCATCCACTTTCCACTCGTGCAATTATATTACATAATTTATACTTTTTCTTTATAAGCAAACTAATTAGAGCTTGCTTTTTTTACTCGTGAAATTACCAGGATTTGTCTTAATCTTACATTTTAATTTCTCATTTTAAAGCTAAATTCTGGTTTACAAAATACCATACAGCCGGAAAAAATCAGCAAGAATGAGCCACTTAGCAGGCTTTCAATGAATGCTGCAACTTCAGAATAAAGCCTCAAAGGTCTGGTCTACAATTACATATCTACCCTGACACCTGCACACCGAGTTGTAACCTCGTTGCAATGCCACAAAAATAAAAACTGCAAATCCAAATAAAATATCTCACCTGAAAGGGTGTTTATAGTAGAGACCATAAATGGTGTAGAGTGCTCCAATCCTCAACTTCAAACTGTGTGGAGGAAGCAAGAATCTCTTAGTAAGTAATGCCACCTCTTCTGAGAACTCTAGCAGCTCCTTGAAGTTCTGACGACCCCTGTAAACCAAGAGAGAAAATCAGTACTGTATTATTATTCATTTGTGTTCTGTCACACTTTTACAACCCAACTTAAGAATTAAAAGAAAAAGTAATTATTGAAAAAAGATGTTACTTCATGCAGTTCAATCAACCTCATAACACCTTGTTTCCTAAGTTGAGCCTCTTTCTGTGTTTGTGCATTATTATTATTATTATTCAATGATAGCACTACACCTGTAGGGGTTATATAGCACCCAAAGAGTAGAAGCCAATAGGTATGATCAGAGGAAAGAGAAGGTAGCTCTAGTTTCTTTGATCAAGAACCCTTGAAGGGCTATATGTATGCAATTCATATCTTTACACTGCCCACAAGGGTATTCTATTATTAATATTAAAATTAGGGGAAGTGCTAAACCTGTAGGGGTCATACAGCACATGGGAAACAATCAGGCTGAACCACAAGGGTAGCCCAGCACAGAAAACAAGTGACACAAGTAACTTCCACTTGCCATGATGCCAACATCATAAATGAACACCCTCCTTGTTGGCATATGAAGGACACAGGCTTTTTTTTTTTTTTTTAACAGATGTGAATCTAATATAAAGTCATGTCTCTTTAATTAGGACAGCAAATATTGAATATTTAATCTATACCACACCCAGTTCCCATATGGCTTTAGAACAATGTGTTAACCTGCTTAAGAGATAGAAATCACCAAAAAAATGAACTGAAACAATATGAAGTGCTGTATCAAATCAAGAAAGTAACTAATATAGAGCAAAACACTGTACAGCACAATATCACACTGTACAGTGTTATATTTCAGGCCAGCAAATGAGGTATTGTTTGGGACCGAGGTGGTAGGGGGTAATTACCCTTAGAATCGTCAAACGTTGAAGATCTTCTTTCAACAAACTGGCCGTATCCCAAGGAAGAGTGACCCAAAAAGAAGAAAAAAGTTTCTCTTTTTAAATTTAGTAATTTATTCAGAAGGGGTTACTAGCCTCTTGCTCCCAGCCTTTTAGTCGCCTCTTACAACACGCATGGCTTACGGAGGAAGAATTCTGTTCCACTTCCCCATAAAGATAATGTCTACTATTTTTCTACAGCCATAGGTTAGCATGAGTTCCAACAGTATTATGTAGTGTAAGATGCAGTTATAACCTGTAGATGAGGGAAAACTTCTTTTTCTGCCAGCACATGGCAAAGTCCTTATATCTCCAGCTCTGAATTTCTTCGAAACACTGCAGAAGATGTGTCAAATCTTGCAAATAGCCAGAGGCAATATACCAGCTTCCTGGAAATAAAATTAACATTTGAAATTAATGGTTGCCTGGTGAAATAATTAGTACACTATGTCATCTGCAATTCAAATGAGTACTGACTCAAGCTATTCTTCTCTAAGCAGAATTCAAATTTGATTGTGTAATAAATTACTATAAAAAATTAAGCAAATAAATAAATATCATGCAAGTACATGTACACACGTACACACGTACACACACACACACACACACAACACACACACACACACACACACACACACACACACACACACACACACACAGCATTCCGACATCTTAATAAGGAATCGTTCAGGACCCTGTACACCGTGTACGTTAGGCCCATATTGGAGTATGCGGCACCAGTTTGGAACCCACACCTAGCCAAGCACGTAAAGAAACTAGAGAAAGTGCAAAGGTTTGCAACAAGACTAGTCCCAGAGCTAAAAGGTATGTCCTACGAGGAGAGGTTAAGGGAAATCAACCTGACAACACTGGAGGACAGGAGAGATAGGGAGGACATGATAACGACATACAAAATACTGAGAGGAATTGACAAGGTGGACAAAGACAGGATGTTCCAGAGAGTGGACACAGTAACAAGGGGACACAGTTGGAAGTTGAAGACACAGATGAATCACAGGGATGTTAGGAAGTATTTCTTCAGCCACAGAGTAGTCAGTAAGTGGAATAGTTTGGGAAGCGATGTAGTGGAGGCAGGATCCATACATAGCTTTAAGCAGAGGTATGATAAAGCTCACAGTTCAGGGAGTGACCTAGTAGCGATCAGTGAAGAGGCGGGGCCAGGAGCTTGGACTCGACCCCTGCAATCTCAACTAGGTGAGTAAACACACACACACATGCATGCGCACACAACACACACACACACACACACACACACACACACACACACACACACACACACACACACACACACAGACACACACACACACACACACACACACATGCACGCACGTGCACACACACATGCATGCACACACACACACAGGGATCAGTCCTAGGACCAGTGCTGTTTCTGGTATTTGTGAACGACATGACGGAAGGAATAGACTCCGAAGTGTCCCTGCTTGCAGATGACGTGAAGCTGATGAGAAGAATTCATTCAATCAAAGACCAGGCAGAACTACAAAGGCTGCAGACCTGGTCCAGTAATTGGCTCTTGGAGTTCAACCCCACCAAGAGTAAAGTCATAAAGATTGGGGAAGGGCAAAGAAGACCGCAGATGGAATACAGTCTAGGGGGCCATAGACTACAAACCTCACTCAAGGAAAAAGATCTTGGGGCAAGTATAACACCAGATACATCTCCTGAAGCGCACATCAACCAAATAACTGCTGCAGCACATGGGCGCCTAGCAAACCTCAGAACAGCATTCCGACATCTTAATAAGGAATCGTTCAGGACCCTGTACACCGTGTACGTTAGGCCCATATTGGAGTATGCGGCACCAGTTTGGAACCCACACCTAGCTAAGCATGTAAAGAAACTAGAGAAAGTGCAAAGGTTTGCAACAAGACTAGTCCCAGAGCTAAGAGGTATGTCCTACGAGGAAAGGTTAAGGGAAACCAACCTGATGACACTGGAAGACAAGAGAGATAGGGGGGACATGATAACCACATACAAAATACTGAGAGGAATTGACAAGATGGACAAAGACAGAATGTTCCAGAAATGGGACATAGCAACAAGGGGACACAGTTGGAAGTTGAAGACACAGATGAATCACAGGGGTGTTAGGAAGTATTTCTTCAGCCACAGAGTAGTCAAGAAGTGGAACAGTTTGGGAAGCGATGTAATGGAAGCAGGATCCATACATAGCTTTAAGCAGAGGTATGATAAAGCTCACGGTTCAGGGAGAGTGATGAAGAGGCGGGGCCAGGAGCTTGGACTCGACCCCTGCAACCTCAACTAGGTGAGTACATGCATGCACACACACACACACATGGAAGACATTGAAAGAACTAGGACATGTGCAAGGACCTTACCAGATACCTGTGGGGGCCAGGAACAGGTGAGCAGGAAGGACAAACCAAGAAGCATAGGGGCCATAACTAGGGAAGGGACTGAAGGAAGGAACACTCCACGGGAAGGAACTAAAATACATCAGAGGATGCAATGGGAGTCACAGTGGGAGGTGGAAAGGGAGAGATCCGTGTTTGTCTATGGGCTAGACGAAGCTAAAGGGGAAACTTATGATGAAAGAAGGCAGGAGGAGAAAAAAGCGATTGAAGATATCATGAAGGTGATAGGCGAGGGGGACATGACCCAGGTGGCAAATTTTCGGAGAATTGGGTGGTTCACAAAGAAAAGGAATCGGCCTCTCAAAGTAATTTTCAAGGCAGAATCAACCCGAACCATGATCCTGCAGGAGAAAGCACGGCTGAGAGGCAAGCAGGAGTTCCGGAGTGTGTACTTCGATCGAGACAGAACACAGGACGAAAGGAAGACGATGAAAGAGAGAGTTCAAAAACGAAAGGAGAAATGGGAGGAAATGAAAAAGGAGAGCAGAATAACCCAGGATCAAATGGAAGGACAAGCACACCCCCCAGAAACACCTGCAGAAGGACTCCGGCCACGACACCCCCAAGGCAACTGAACAATCCAAACCAACCATCACACACCGATCCCTCTGTTTCCACCCCCTGCACCACAGTTACAGTATTAGAACAGAAGTTGAAGGTTTGGTACACAAATGCAGATGGATTAACGAATAAACATGAGGAATGGCAAGAAAGAATCAATGAGAAGTCCCCAGACATCATAGCAGTTACAGAAACAAAACTCACGGAGACAATAACAGATGCAATCTTCCCACCAGGATACCAGATCATGAGGAAAGATAGAAGGGGCAGGGGGGGAGGTGGGTTGCTTGCTCGTAAAAAACAGATGGAAATTCGAGAAAATGGAAGGAATAGATGAGACGGGAGAAAGAGACTACATAGCAGGTACACTTCAGTCTGGGGAACACAAAGTGGTCATTGCAGTGATGTATAATCCACACACAGAACTGCAGGAGGCCAAGAGAGGAATATGAAGAGAGCAACAGAGCAATGGTGGACACACTTGCTGAGGTGGCAAGAAGAGCTCATTCCAGCAGAGCAAAGTTGCTGGTTATGGAGGATTTCAACCACAGGGAGATTGACTGGGAAAACCTGGAGCCACATGGGGGTCCCGAAACATGGAGAGCCAGGATGTTGGACGTGGTGCTGGAAAACATCATGCACCAACATGTTAAGGACACTACCAGAGTGAGAGGGGAGGATGAACCAGCAAGATTGGACCTTGTGTTCACCCTGGGCAGCTCAGACATTGAGGACATCAAGTATGAGAGTCCCCTAGGAGCTAGCGACCACGTGGTTCTGTGCTTTGAATACATAGTAGAGCTGCAAGTGGAGAGAATAACAGGAGTTGAATGGGAAAAGCCTGACTATAAAAGAGGGGACTACATAGGGTTGAAGAACCTCCTGCGGGAGGTCCAGTGGGACAGAGAACTGGCAGGAAAGCCAGTAAATGAAATGATGGAATATGTAACAACAAAATGCAAGGAGGCAGTGGAAAGGTTTATTCCCAAGGGCAACACTAACAACGGGAAGACCAGAACGAGCCCCTGGTTTACCCGACGGTGTAAGGAGGCAAAAACAAAGTGCAATAGAGAATGGAAAAAGTACAGAAGGCAGAGAACACACGAAAATAGGGAGACCAGTCGCAGAGCCAGGAATGAGTATGCACAGGTAAGGAGGGAGGCCCAGCGACAGTATGAAAATGACATAGCATCGAGAATCAAGACTGACCCGAAACTGTTGTATAGCCACATTAGGAGGAAGACATCAGTCAAAGACCAGGTGATCAGATTAAGGACAGAAGGTGGAGAACTCACAAGAAATGATCAGGAGGTATGTGAGGAGCTGAACAGGAGATTTAAGGAAGTTTTTACAGTAGAGACAGGATGGGCTGTGGGAAGACAGCACAGAAGGGAACATCAAGAGGGAATATACCAACAAGTGTTGGATGATATATGAACAACTGAGGAGGAGGTGAAGAAGCTCTTAAGTGACCTTGACACCTCAAAGGTGATGGGACCGGACAACATCTCCCCATGGGTCCTTAGAGAAGGAGCAGAGATGCTGTGCGTGCCTCTAACCACAATCTTCAACACATCCCTTGAAACTGGGCAACTACCTGAGATATGGAAGACAGCTAATGTAGTCCCCATATTTAAGAAAGGAAACAGAAACGAGGCACTAAACTACAGACCTGTGTCTCTAACATGTATTGTGTGCAAAGTCATGGAGAAGATTATCAGGAGGAGAGTGGTCGAACACCTGGAAAGGAACAAGATTATAAATGAAAACCAGCATGGGTTCATGGAAGGCAAATCTTGTATCACAAACCTCCTGGAGTTTTATGACAAGGTAACATAAGTAAGACACGAGAGAGAGGGGTGGGTAGATTGTGTTTTCCTAGACTGCAGGAAGGCCTTTGACACAGTTCCCCACAAGAGATTAGTGCAGAAGCTGGAGGATCAGGTGCATGTAAAAGGGAGGGCACTGCAATGGATAAGGGAATACCTGACAGGGAGGCAGCAACGAGTCATGGTACGTGAAGAGGTATCACAGTGGGCGCCTGTTACGAGCAGGGTCCCACAGGGGTCAGTTCTAGGATCAGTGCTATTTTTGATATATGTGAATGACATGATGGAAGGAATAGACTCTGAAGTGTCCCTGTTCGCAGATGACGTGAAGTTGATGAGAAGAATTAAATAAGACGAGGATGAGGCAGGACTGCAAACAGACCTGGACAGGCTGGACATGTGGTCCAGTAACTGGCTTCTCAAATTCAATCCAGCAAAATGCAAAGTCATGAAGATTGGGGAGGGGCAAAGAAGACCGCAGACAGAGTATAGGCTAGGTGGACAAAGAATACAGACCTCACTCAGGGAGAAAGACCTTGGGGTGACCATAACACCGAGCACATCACCGGAGGCACACATCAACCAAATAACTGCTGCAGCATACGGGCGCCTGGCAAACCTGAGAATAGCGTTCCAATACCTTAATAAGGAATCGTTCAAGACACTGTACACTGTGTATGTTAGGCCCATACTGGAGTATGCAGCACCAGTCTGGAACCCACACCTGGTCAAGCACGTCAAGAAGTTAGAGAAAGTACAAAGGTTTGCAACAAGGCTAGTCCCAGAGCTCAAGGGAATGTTGTACGAGGAAATGTTAAGGGAAATCGGACTGACGACACTGGAGGACAGAAGGGTCAGGGGGGACATGATAACGACATACAATATACTGCGGGGAATAGACAAGGTGGACAGAGATAGGATGTTCCAGAGAGGGGACACAGGGACAAGGGGTCACAACTGGAAGCTGAAGACTCAGACAAGTCACAGGGACGTTAGGAAGTATTTCTTCAGTCATAGAGTTGTCAGCAAGTGGAATAACCTAGCAAGTGAAGTAGTGGAGGCAGGAACCATACATAGTTTTAAGAAGAGGTATGACAAAGCTCAGGAAGCAGAGAGAGAGAGGACCAGTAGCGATCAGTGAAGAGGCGGAGCCAGGAGCTGAGTCTCAACCCCTGCAACCACAATTAGGTGAGTACAATTAGGTGAGTACACACACACACACACACACACACATGCATGCACACACATGCACACACACACACATTCACACACACACATACACGCAAACACACACATGCACGCACACACACATGCACACACACACACACACACATGCACGCACACACACATATGCATGCACACACACACACACATGCATGCACACACACACACATGCATATGCACATGCACACACTTGCACATGCATGCCCTATCGCACATGAACACATACTCGTACATGCACACACGCACATGTGCTGTGTTGTGAGAGCTGTAACTGCAGGACCAAGACTGTAAATCGACCCCTGAAACCACAAATAGGTAGGTACACACTCTCTGTCTTGGTAAGACAACCATTAAGGTAAAAATAAATGTATATGTTAAAAGAATATTTCTATGATAGTGAGAATGATAGTGAAAGTGTTTCTTTTTCGGGTCATCCTGCCTTGGTGGGAGATGGCCAGTGTGTTAAAACAAAATAAATAGCGAAAAATATTCAATAAAAAAAGCAGAGGTGTAAAAAAAACTGACTAGACATGTCTGGTAATCCTCAAAAAATAGAACTAAAAACAGAGAATGCTTTATTAAAGATTATTTAAACCTATCTTGCATTTGCAGCAATATTTATAAAGAAGTATGAAGAAATGTGAAATATTAGTGCTAGAACATCTCTGGGAACAAGAGTTATGTTAGGTGACAAAAATACTTAACACATTCATGGGAAACATTAAATCTGCATCAATAATGATTATAGAGAAGTGCCTAAGGAATGGGAGGCAATCAGGTTTTATCCAAGGAAGGAGGGGGTAACTCTAATTCCTTGACTCAAGAGCCCTTCACCAATGCCAAGGCACCCCCCTTCGAAAGCGTAGGAAATAAAAATGGACAATGGAAACTCACCAGTGACGGAATAGGGTTGGCCATATTTTGAATCCTTTTTGGATTTACAGCTTTTGCCCTTTTCAGTCTCTTCTCCTTCCACATACTCAATCTCCCGATCCATTAACATTCTCTTTTTCACTATCTTAGGTTTTATTTTTTTTTTTCTTCCTCTTTTAGGCTTGATCACTACTTTGTCATCACCCTCTGAAAGATCTGGTATATCTCTAAGTGATGATGTGTCTGCCATAGCAAGAGCTTTCTTTCTAACATACTTTCTCTTCGTTACAGTTTTAACAACACTACCATCTGTTTCAGAATCTTGAAGTGTTTCTTGATTCTTTTTTGGTTCAGTTTTTTTTTGTCTTTTCTTCTTAGGTTCCTCTTTAATCTTTGTGGTTTTTCCTTTGGTTGACCTTTTTTTCTTACATATTTCATCTTCCTCAAACTCATCAGGATCTTCTTCAAATTCCTTTGGAGGTTTGTACTCTGTTGAAGAATCTAAATCCAAGTCAATATCATCATCATCAAGGACATATTCACTGCTCAGGATATGAGGCTGCTTTCTCTTTCTCTTTCCTCGTGTCTTCTTAGTTTCTTCAACAGGTGTCTCTTCGACATTTTCTTTCTCAGCACTCGTTTCTGGAGTGTTTTCCTGTGAAGCTATACTTATGATGTCAGAGAGGAGTTTTACATCGACGTTCTTTGGAGTTGGTTGCTGTTGTTTGACTTTTTTTGGAGTCAGTTGCTTTCGCTTGCTTACAGGTTTAACTGGAGAGCTAGATGCCCCCTTTTCTTCTTTTTCCTGATTTACATTTTCATTGCATACAGCAACCTTACTGCGATGTTGTTTGCGTTTACGGCCTATGGCCGATTTTTTTCGTCTTCCTGGCATAAGAATAAGAATAAGAATAAGATTTCGTTCGGATTTTTAACCCCGGGGGGTTAGCCACCCAGGATAACCCAAGAAAGTCAGTGCGTCATCGAGGACTGTCTAACTTATTTCCATTGGGGTCCTTAATCTTGTCCCCCAGGATGCGACCCACACCAGTCGACTAACACCCAGGTACCTATTTGCTGCTAGGTGAACAGGACAACAGGTGTAAGGAAACGTGTCGAAATGTTTCCACCCGCCGGGAATCAAATCCGGGCCCTCTGTGTGTGAAGCGGGAGCTTTAGCCACCAGGCCACCGGGCCGGACTTAAGACTAACACTGTCTTGTATCCATGTTTCGTTTTCTTTCTCTTCTGAAGCTGAGAGGGTTTCACTTGAATGGCTTTCTCTAGCTGCAGTAGTTATTACATTTATCATAAGGCATAGTATCTGAAAACAAAAAAGTAAATCAAATTAAGCTGTCATAACAATAATCATGCTTCAGAGTAATCATGATTGAAACAATTCCCCTATTCAACACAAGATTAATTTATTATCCATACAACTCAAAAATGTACAATAAACTATATTAAACACTGGCATGAAAGGTCTGTATGATAAAGGTATAAATTACAAAGGAATATATCACAAAGGTAATTATCGTAACTGTATAAAAAAAAATGTAGGTGACAACCTGCAGGTAAGCATTTCTGCACTTTCGTTTAAGGCTTTGTTCTCTGTTCACATCTTCTTTAGAAGCAAGCAAGTTCTTCAGTCTAGAAAATATAGAGAGATCATTTACTGCTTTCACACTGTAAAACAAATAAATATAACCATTTAGTCACACAGATACAGATAGATTTTCAAAATAAAAACTTAACGAGATACACTAGAAAATTCAAGATTATTATTTCAATATATCTATATTTATGGTGAAGTCCTAATTCTGTAGAGGTCATATGTTTCTGGAATGGAAGATAATCAAAGTTTGACCCAAGGAAGGAGTGGGCAGATCCAACACCTTTGATTATAAACCCTTTATTAGAATCAGGGCAACCCCCTGAATGGAAGACAATTAGTTAAAACCAATGAAAAGTAAGCTTTCTATCAACACAACTAGAAAACACTGTCACCATCTGAGTTCCAAGACAATTGAACCTCACACCAGTAAACAGAAGATAGGATGTATTGCTGGAACAAAATTATTTAAGAAGATACTTGACAGGTCCATGTGGCAGTCCCAAATCAGCCACATTTAATGGCAATAGAAACTTGCAGACTACAAACAAATCAGCTCTGGCTGATCATACCCAAGGCTAAAGCTATGGGTAGGATCAGCCATACCCAGAACTAAAGCATATTTTGGTAATACATTGTGTGTTAATTTACTAAACCAAGAGTTCCACAATGCAAAGAAACCGTCCTTACAAAATTGCATGTAAATTGTGTCCAGACTACCTATTAACCCGTAAACGGTCCAAACGTACATATACGTTTTTTCAACATTTTAAAGTATGTAAAAAAAAGTAGACCTTCTTTTTGTTTTTTTACATTTGAAAATGTGTAAAAAAACTTTGATCTACTTTTTTTTTGTTATATTTGAAAATATGTAAAAAAAAACGTAGATCTACTTCTGTAGCATCACACATGTGAACGTAGATCTGCTTGGACCGTTTACGGGTTAAGTATACAGTAGCAGATTATAATCATTATATTCAGAAAAAAGCATTAAGCAAATAAGGGTCATATACTGAAGCTTCAAACAGTAAAGGTTAAAATAGGTGGCAGAGTTAGTGGAGGTGCTGAGAAAACATCGGCATGGGAGGGGTGTTACAGCAAAGTGGAGGCACAGTCGGCATTAAGAACCATCAAGAAAGAACGTTGTTTTATAAGAGCAGCAGTAGCAGCACTGGTGGCAGGGTTAGCAATGGCAGTATCAGTGTTAGGAATAGAGGTATTAGTTAGAAATGGTTGCATCAGCATTAGCAACGGTGGTATCAGTGTCAGCAGGAGCAGCATTAGCAACACCAACATCACTGGCAGTAATTTAAAATTTTAAATACGTGTATGCACCTTTACGAGGTGCTAAACTTGTTGGGCATTCAGTGTAAGGAGTGTTGGAGGCTCGATCCTCTGACTTCTAATGACATGACTGACATCATTAGAAGTCAGGCAGGCTGTAGCTGGAAAAAATACCAGTAGCAATAGATGTAACACAGGAAAACTCAGCAGCATCAGTGGAAACAGAGGGCATTTCAACAACACTGGCATCAGCAAAATTTGCTTTGGCAGCAAGGACAGTATCAGAGGCAGCAAAAGACTAGAGCCAATGGTCACAATTCATGCTAATACAGCCTCTCCTCACATAGTGACGTACTCGTTTACTGACGACTTGGACTTATAATGGGCTCTCTGTTCAGTATGCATACCTAAATAATGTATACTAGAGCTGATTTCCTCTATTCTGTTTATTACAATATATGTACAGTAAACTACTGCATAAACATTTAAAAATATACCAGAAATGTTGTAGTGTAAATGGTGCAAAGGTGACATTAAAATAATATCAAAGATGGTTGACACAAACCCACTATCATTACAGTTTGCTCTTCACTTAGCAACGAATTTATTTACTGACGTGGTCTTAGGAACAGAACTCCATCGTTAAGTGATGAGAGGATGTATATATATGTAATGTACAGCAGTAAGGAGTGGTTTGTAATTTTACTATTTTGTAAGTTTTACTTTACTGTATCACCCATAATATAGAATTATTATAGTAAACATAAAGGTTTCACTATGTGACTAAATAAATTAGAAAATGTAATAAAAATAAATTTCTGTTGGGTAAGATTAGGTTAGGTTAGGTTAGGTTAGGTTAGGTTAGGTTAGGTTAGGTTAGGTTAGGTTAGGTTAGGTTAGGTTAGGTTAGGTTAGGTTAGGTTAGGTTAGGCTAGGTTAAGCTAGGCTAGGCTAGGCTAGGCTAGGCTAGGCTAGGCTAGGCTAGGCTAGGCTAGGCTAGGCTAGGCTAGGCTAGGCTAGGCTAGGCTAGGCTAGGCTAGGCTAGGCTAGGTTAGGCTAGGCTAATTACATTTGGTTATGTTACATTGCACTGATGCCTATTAATAAAACTTAGCAAAACAAAACCTACCACAACACCAATAAATATAATAATGCATAGAGGCAATAAAAACTATTGAAAGGAAAGCAAAAAACCAGGGACTCTCCAGGGGGACTGTAGAATACACAGGCAAATAATTACCTCTTACCATAACTCACATCAAACTCACAGGTCTGACTGTAATAGCCATGCTGAAATGTTATGATTAGGATGATGGGTCAGGCTTTGATGTTCTATCCAAATTTCAAATATCTCTTGTCATCACTGTACTGAATGCTTATAATAGTGCTTAATGGAATTTATGTAAAAGTGTAAAATTCACTGACACAACAAACATATATTTGTAAACCTGTATATTCAACTAAAGTTTTATGCATATCTCAGCTGATGCATTAGTATGAATCTTCCTCAAAGATACAACAATCAAAATCTGCTACTAACCCATTTCAAATATATACCATAAATCTTAACAAATCACTTAAATCCTCTTGAGAAATCACAGAGATATTCCAGGTTAAGGCAAGTAAGTTAATTCAGGTGCAGGTACACATAAATAGTTACATAAATTATCATACATAGCAGCACATGTGTAATTAACTAGGATAACTCAAAAAAGTCAGTGATTCATTTCCACTGGGGTCTGTGAGGCAACACAAAATGTCACCTTAGTGTATCTATCATGACTAAATGCAATGTTGTAATTTTTAAACCCTAAGGTCAATTTACTTATGTATATTATAATACTTCCGTACATGGCTTAACATAATTGAATTCTTAATTAAGAAACATTATCATTCACTTTAGTTACATTAATCAACCTTCCTGCCTGATGCAACAATTAATATATTCATGGGGAAGCTCTAAACTCATACGGTATTACACAGCACTTAGGGAATGTGAAATAATTAGATACGATCAAATCAAGGGGGAAAGTAACTCCAATTCCTTGGATTAAGAGCTCTTAAAGTGTATCAGAGCATCCCCCTTAAGGCAGCAAAAGAGGTGCTACCAGGCTTTTTTAATCTAATTATCAATTACTGACAGGCTCAAAACTGCAATAATTTACAAAAATAAAAGCCAATAGCGTCCCCGAACTTTAAAATTGAAGCTAGAAGAGAGGAGCATCACTCACACTTAACACTCAATACTCGTACAAACTTAAATTACAGTGACAGACTACAACTTCAAAAATAAATGGCACTCCTGGGGGTAATTTACCGTCAAAATGGTGAGGAGACGCGAGAGAGTTTCCCAGTTATAGTAATATAATAGAGAGGGTGATGGTGGCCACATACAAAATAGTTACTCCAGAGATGTTGTTGTGGCTGCCCAGTCAACTTCCTCTCCTCACCTCATATATAATTATCCTTCACTCTTTTCTATGTCTTAATTTTTATTACGGTTGATATTCAATTATGTCATCTAAATCGGCTGGCTGTAACGTGAATCTCCATTATATTAAGAATTTATAAGTGAGACGTTGAGTCGCATGAAGATCTAAGATGCAACGTTTCTTGTCGAGTCGGGAAATGGAAATATATTCCCAGTTGTAATTTACAGGAATTTTTATGGACGCATATCTTCAAATAATTTCGTTTAGTGAGCACTGATTTACATGGGCTTAATAATAATTTGTTGAAATTTATGTATATAATTGTATATAATACTCAGCGAGGACCCTAATGGAAATACTTTGACTTTTTTTTAGGTTATCATAGGTAATTTACTCTATGTATGATAAATGTACTTATCAAAAAAAATCAAATTTTTCATTTCTTTGCAAAGTTTACAATGTGTGGTTTACATGTTACAAAATATTAAGTACAAAAAAAGCTACTAGCATGCCTAGGCATTTCGGGCAGACTAATATTAATTCTTACTGATTATATTCCATAAACACAAGTTATGTAGTGGTACATTTTAATATTCATTATTTCATATTATTACAAAAGTTAGGCAACCAAAAATGTACCTGTACCTACATAAACTTACTTAGGTTGTATTTATGTATATGACACGTCAGGAAAAAATATTGTCAAAAATATAAGCTTTATCCAGGACAGCCTAAAGCATGAAGGAGGTTCACCTCTAGTGAAAATTATAGGTACACAGCCTACCCTGACTTTACCTATTGTAAATAACTTATAGCCACTTACAAGGTTAAATTTAATAATACCTTACTAAAACATAAGGTAATATAAATAATTGAAAACTGCGTACATGTAAGCTACACTGTAATATTTATGTGACTGGATATATGTCTGTATAAATAAATCATTATAATTGTAACCAGATATAAACATGTAAATAGTTCATTATCATTAGACAATAATTAATAATAATGATAATGATAATCTTCATTTCTACAGTACATGTACAAGGTATAGAGGCCTAGCTGATATAAGTGACACTACTATATATAACTTTGAGGCCCAGTACCTGGACCCATCATTAAGTTTATTTAGGTACAGGTACACATACACACAACAATAAATTATCAGACATAGTAACATATATGTAAATTACCTAGGATAACCTAAAGAAGTCAAAATGTAGTTCCTGGACCCATTATGTGTAATGTTGAGGTACAGTCCCTGGACCCATTATGTGTCTCTGTAGTGTTTGAGATACAGTTCTTGGCCCCCATTATGTGCCTCTGTAATGTTGAGATACACTTCCTAGATCAATTATGTGCCTCTGTAATGTTCACGTATATTCCCTGAACCCATTATGTGCCTCCGTAATCGTTTGACCACCACCCACAGAATGAGTGTAAGGAGCATTATAAAAGATGTTAAAAGCCTTAGATAAAAGGCTTCGAGGTGAAATATTTAGATTTCTCCCTCAGGATGTCAGAATATTCCACTTTTGCAACCCCATCTTTTATAAATGCAACGACAGGCATGTATAACAATGCAGTATGATACATAAAGTAGCTTTAAATTTAGACAGTAGTTCTAAGGGCACATGTAGGTGCTGTAGGTACTCACTAGTGCCACATTATGTAGATTTTAAATGTGAAAGCGTAAATATAAGTAATTATATAATTTTCCATCTTGAAATTCCACTTACATTAAAACAACATCCTGAGGTGTATGGCTCCTCCTTATATATAAAGGAAAAATAGCGAAAGTCCTAACAATCTATTAAAAAGATACGCGGTATCTGGATGTAAGGATATATAAAACAGGTCCTTCACACTGAATATAAGGATAAACAACAGTACCTCTAGTCCCTCCACAATCTATTAGCTCGACGGGAAGAAAATGCACATATAAAGTTTGATCCAACACCATGACTCAAATATTATTATATTCATGGGAAAGCGCTAAAACCGTGAGGCTCGTCAAGCGCCTGGGGAATGGGAGGAAATCACTCTCTATGCAAGGGAAGGAAGGGTAAATTCAGGCACTAAAAGGAGGAGGATGGTACTCATCAATGCAAAGATCCAAGGTGTCACATACTTGGCACAATGCATGCTGATGGTGCTTCCTTCGTCAGGAGCCCTTCAGGGGGTTCCTTGATGCTGATGAGGGGCTCTTGATCTGGGGAGCAGGGTCTGTGCTACAATTCCCTGAATTAAGCCTGAATACCTTCCACCCTCCCCCACAGGCGCTATATAATCCCTCCGAGTTTAGTGCTCCCCTATGATAATAATAAAAATAATCTTGGTCAGGGGCACTATCTCCTGACATCTTATAATACATGATGTTAGGACTCCACCTCAGCATCCAGTTCAAAGTTCATTCTCTATAAGGATAACAATGCTGAGTTTACAGAATTTGGTTACTGTGTGGTTTACATGTAGTAAAATAATAATTACAGTGTACCACTAGAACACCTAGCATGGCAAGGCATTTCGGGCAGACTTAAATTAAATCTTAAGTTTAAAATATTACAAAATTATGAGGTAAGTTGGTATTATGGCTAAGTGACTAAATACTAGTTTGTGAGTTTAGCAATGTGAATGCTTTTGTTTTGTTTTATATAAATGGTTTAGAAGACTAAGTTGATGAATGAGACACTTGTACAACATTTTGGTATCTTTATTGTGGAAACGTTTCGCCAGCCAGTGGCTTGGAAATATAAACACGTTTCGCCAGCCAGTGGCTTCCTCGGGTCAATGCAAAGAACGGTGGAAGATGAGACTTTGAGGAAATCAGTCCTCAGCCTGGAGTCAATGTGTTAGTCCATCAATATTGATTAGTACAGCATATGGTTAGGCTACGTAGGTTTGTCAGGAAACAGGACAAGTGTTTTCTGACGAGGGTCTTAGTCATAGGATGGCCCGCAGCTGGAGCTTTCGGTCATCTGACAGAGGCCTTCCGCTGGCTTACCGGTTCACTCCACCTTTAAATATTAAAGTTATACAGCATATGCTCGGAAAAGGGGCTTATATTCTGCAGATAGGAGAGGTGAATCAGTTGGAGCTGGCGTGTTCTACTTCCACTAGGTTTAGTTTAATATGTATACTATGCACCCCATACCCATCCTGTGGGCGGAAGTGAAAAGATTACAGAAGTACATAATTGGTCCAGGGACTGGACTCCAAAGTTTTGATAGCTAAGCAAGTTACAGAGGTAATGAATTCACAATTACCAAGTTAATGAACTCACAATTTACAAAGGTAATGAACTCCTGGTAGGTCTGGTCACAATCATGACAAGTTACAAAGGTCATGCCTATAGGTTAGGCATGACCTAGTGTATTTTAAGATCTTGATACAGGGATTTCTTCAATGCTAAAAGCGTCATGTGTCCAACGTCTTATAACCAACATTGTCTTGATCTCAACACTGTTTTGATCCTATGATTGTTCTGACCCTAACAGTAAGATTATTCAGGTATAGGTGCACAACTGTACCTAAACAATTGAAGTTAAATCAATTTTACAAAATTGTTCACAGTGTACAGAATATCTTGCTGCCAATTTTGTCAAGATTGGGAACCAAAGCAATCATAGTACTAGGGAAAGAGGACACAACTTTGTAGTAGCCACAGTCAGTGGCCAGGCTTCAAACACCTTTTATTGTACAGCAATTAAGGAATGGAACAGACTGCCTGCACATGTCAAAGCCAGTCATAGCATCAACCAGTTCAAGAAGAGAAGCAAAAGTTGCTTAATGAATGTAGAGACAGAAAGGGAGAAGAATGATTTATTTTTTAACTAACACACGTGTAAATATAAATAACTCATTTTACCTTATTCCTCGTATATCTCTTTTAGAGCATAGTAATATCGCCTTTACAGTACAATAATAAGATATCTCCTTTATGGTATAATAATAAGGTATTAAAAGGAGTCTGAACCCAATGGAAATAAGTCACTGACTTTTTTGGGTTATCCTAGGTTCTCTACACATATGCTGCTATGTATGGTATAATCTATGTAACTGTATTTGTGTATACCTGAATAAACTTATTTACACATAAATAGTAACATAAATTATCATACATAGCACATGTGAAGATTACTCTTTTGATCTCAACATTTTCTTACATTTCAGCCAGGTTGATCAGGCCCTGATCCAACATGAGGCCTGGTCACAGACCGGACCGCGGGGGCGCTGACCCCCGAAACCCTCTCCAGTTATTCCAACACTCGTGATTCCAACACTTGATTCCAGCACTTTCCTGATTCCAACACTTAATTCCAACACTTGATTCCAACACCCTGTCTTGATTCCAACACTTGATTCCAACACCCACTGTCTTGATTAGTAAGTTAATTCAGGTATACACAAATACAATTACACAGATTATCATATATAGCAGCATATGTGTAGAGAACCTGGGATAACACCAAAAAGTCAGACAGGGTGACTTATTTCCACTGGGGTCCTGTTTTGATTCCAACACCCTCTGTCTTGATCCCAACACTATTGATCCTAACAATGTCTTGACCCCAACACTATTGATCCTAACAATGTGTTGATCCCAACACTAATGATCCTAACAATGTGTTGATCCCAACACTATTGATCCTAACAATGTCTTGATCCCAACACTATTGATCCTAACTGTCTTGATCCCAACACCATTGATCCTAACAATGTCTTGATCCCAACACTATTGATCCTAACAATGTCTTGACCCCAACACTATTGATCCTAATAATGTCTTGACCCCAACACTATTGATCCTAACAATGTCTTGATCCCAACACTATTGATCCTAACAATGTCTTGATCCCAACACTATTGATCCTAACGATGTCTTGACCCCAACACTAATGATCCTAACAATGTCTTGATCCCAACACTATTGATCCTAACAATGTCTTGACCCCAACACTATTGATCCTAACAATGTCTTGACCCCAACACTATTGATCCTAACAATGTCTTGACACCAACACTATTGATCCTAACAATGTCTTCACCCCAACACTATTGATCCTAACAATGTCTTGATCCCAACACTATTGATCCTAACAATGTCTTGATCCCAACACTATTGATCCTAACAATGTCTTGACCCCAACACTATTGATCCTAACAATGTCTTGATCCCAACACTATTAATCCTAACAATGTCTTGACCCCAACACTATTGATCCTAACAATGTCTTGACCCCAACACTATTGATCCTAACAATGTCTTGACCCCAACACTATTGATCCTAACAATGTCTTGACCCCAACACTATTGATCCTAACAATGTCTTGACCCCAACACTATTGATCCTAACAATGGCTTGACCCCAACACTATTGATCCTAACAATGTCTTGACCCCAACACTATTGATCCTAACTGTCTTGACCCCAACACTATTGATCCTAACAATGTCTTGACCCCAACACTATTGATCCTAACAATGTCTTGATCCCAACACTATTGATCCTAACAATGTCTTGATCCCAACACTATTGATCCTAACAATGTCTTGACCCCAACACTATTGATCCTAACAATGTCTTGATCCCAACACTATTGATCCTAACAATGTCTTGACCCCAACACTATTGATCCTAACAATGTCTTGACCCCAACACTATTGATCCTAACAATGTCTTGATCCCAACACTATTGATCCTAACAATGTCTTGACCCCAACACTATTGATCCTAACAATGTCTTGACCCAACACTATTGATCCTAACAATGTCTTGATCCCAACACTATTGATCCTAACAATGTCTTGATCCCAACACTATTGATCCTAACAATGTCTTGATCCCAACACTATTGATCCTAACAATGTCTTGATCCCAACACTATTGATCCTAACAATGTCTTGACCCCAACACTATTGATCCTAACAATGTCTTGACCCCAACACTATTGATCCTAAGAATGTCTTGACCCCAACACTATTGATCCTAACTGTCTTGACCCCAACACTATTGATCCTAAGAATGTCTTGACCCCAACACTATTGATCCTAACAATGTCTTGACCCCAACACTATTGATCCTAACAATGTCTTGACCCCAACACTATTGATCCTAACAATGTCTTGACCCCAACACTATTGATCCTAACTGTCTTGACCCCAACACTATTGATCCTAACAATGTCTTGACCCCAACACTATTGATCCTAACAATGTCTTGACCCCAACACTATTGATCCTAACAATGTCTTGACCCCAACACTATTGATCCTAACAATGTCTTGACCCCAACACTATTGATCCTAACAATGTCTTGACCCCAACACGAGCCCAACAATATCCGCCTTGGGCCAGGCCCCCCGGGGCATATTTCGGTACCAGTTCCCCTCAAGAAGGGAATTTCCCCGATGCTGGTGAAGGGTTCTTGATCTGAAGACCTGGAGCTGTCCTCCCCTTCCCCGGATCAAACCTGCCTCTCAACTCCCCCAGGTAAGCCCTCACGGGTTTAGATGACTCAGTGAGGCTGGACGGCTCGTACGTGGAGCTGCTAACGGCATTTCCTCCTCTCTTCTTGAAGAAAATAAAGGAAGAGTTGATGTGAGGAGAAAGCAAAGAAATATTTAAGAAGTTGAAGAGTCTTGGAAGGTGAAAGAAGTGTCGTGGACGGTGATAATGTAAGATATAATGAAGAAAAGGCCACTCTGCTGACAGGTCTTCCTCCGGGTTAGAGTTTTTTTTTAATATGTATTTTTGCAGACTTACATTTTGACAGCATTTACAATAATTTTATTATTATTATAACTTTCATTGGTGATGCATTAATGAGGTTTTAAATATAGTTAACAAAGTTGGTGTGATTTATTTCCATTAACGACCCGTTGTTTCCAGATTTTTCTGAATTATAAGACAAGTCGTGATTTTTAGAAATTATCAGTTTTACTTATAGACATTTTTAGTGTATATAACTAAATGCATTTAAGTAAATCCATTCAGTTATAAAATAAAAAATAGTGATTTGTTTCCTGGCAGCTGGCCACAGCTGTCATGGTAGTCTTGCTTAAATCTTTATTTAGTACATCAGTAAGAAGTAGTTTATGTATATATAAATACTTTGTATTTCTACCTGGATAATTATAAATTACATATAGATAATACCAGTGATCTCATCGATGTTACTAAGTCACCGATTAGTGATCAATAGATAAGAATCCTCTGATATTTTCTTACTGACGAAGAGTTCTTCCATATATAAATTAAGTTACATTATCGATAACCTCTAACTTAATCTAATTTAAGCCTAAATTATATTGTTGGATAAGACTTGGTTATTTAATTAAGTCACCGAATCTGCCGCCTGGATAACTCACTGACGATGGTAATTTGAAAAGTCGTTGACTTCACTTCATGCCTATAGAATAGAATAGATATACAGTGTTTAGTTCTTTATTTTTTATAATAATAATAATACTTAGAGATACAGCAGTCACAGTTTATGATCACTTAACCTAGGGTAACCATAATGTTCCTGAACAGCATATCTTGAGTTAGTGGTATGATCCCTATAGGTTGAGCATTTCCCCTTAAGTTATTTAGGCACAGGTACACGTAAGTACAATTTGTAAGTTATACATAATGTAAATTACCTAGGATAATCCCCCAAAAAAGTCATCTAAGTTGCTCATTTCCACTGGGACCCTAGAACATAATTTATTGTTTCCTCAGCAGGTTTTAAATCCACTGGGGTTCCCATTTAATTTCTCATCAGTACACATATGCATGTCATTTTTAATGAAAATGAAAAATAATTTTATGCCCAAATAGCTACAGTAAAGCTCAAAAAAGTTACAAATGCAAACTTACCCAATGTTACCTAACTCAGTGGTAGAGCATTGGGCTCTATAACTGAATTTTAAGTATCACCTTGCTTGATTCTCAAGCAAGGTGATACTCATAAAGACAATCTATTATCTAGCATGTAACCTAATCTACAATAATGTTAATATTACCTAGCATAATTTAAGGCCAACAACTTAGCCAAAATACTGTACATACTTAGATCTGTACATTGTACATTGAATCAGATTGCCTCTTTATATAGCCTATGAAGCAAATGTTCTAATACTGCATTATAGTATGTTTTTATTGGTCTTCATGTGGTATTATGGTACTGTTTAACAATGATTTAATACAACAGATGGACAAGTGTCTCATGTCAAGGAGCCCACACTCAATGCTTCAAGAGGCAGTGTGAAATGCAGAGCAGTTGAAGCATCATACTGTACTGTACTGTACTATAGAATAAGCTGCCATGGACTTTTCTGGTAAGAAATTTGTATATTGTAAGGTTGGATAAACAAATACTGTAATGTGAATGTGTATTTTTCCTAAGATTAGGTTTTTCTGATGTGATGGCCTACAATCATCCTCACTGCTACCTTCCATATATTCTTAGGCCCCTAGTACCCTCACTATAAAACAGAGGGTGGTACACTTATGCAAAGAGTGATTTGGCATCTTTGATGAGATAAAAGGAAGGAATGGGAGAGGAGAGAACAAGGAGGGAGGATAAAGGATTGGGAAACAATAGAGAGGGAGGGAACAGAAAGGAAGGAAGTAGTCTTGTTGCTATTGTGTCATACAATGGGAGAAAAGGTGGGAGTAATTGAAAGTGGAAGTGAGAATGCAAGAGAGGGAAGGACATCAGGGAATGGTATAGAATGGGCACAGGGGAAGGGAAGAGGAGAGAGAGGACTTCTTTGAGTATCATTTATTTTTTTTTTATTTCATTGTTATAAAAATAAACGAAATTGGCATGGAATATTATGGCCCAGGCATGCATCTCCGGTTATAACATGGGTATCTATTGGAAAGTAATTGGCAAAGTTCGGAACACCCAAGTAGTGAATAATTTTCAGAAACATAACAATGTTTTAGGTTTGGGCCTTACTCTATATTAGTACTGTATATATAATCTTCCATAATAGCAAACATGTTATTGTATAACCAAGGTAGAACATTTTAAGGAGACTAAAAAAGAACATTTTAAAGAGTTAATACATGTCTCATTGAATGCAGTGTCATCTGATATTGTGGTGGAGCTCCTTGAGGTTGCTATCAACCTAATACTGTACACCAGAGAAATTTATCCTCAATCAGTTTTTCAAAGAAGAAAAAAGTACAGCATCCCCGTACAGGTAAGATATTGTGTATAGTATAATTTTTTTGTATACGTACCAGTAGTTAATTAATATAACCTTGATTATACTGCCTGGTATTTAGTCATATAAAGATTAGCAGTTAATAGTTCTTTGTCTTGTGTACCTTTTCACAAGTGTTGTTGGATTTGTCCTGTAGGAGCAAGCTAACTTGTACCAAGACTGAAGAACAGTATTAATATAAAAGAGGATTTGAAAGAATCATACTACATACTCCCATAGCCTCTTCTAATTTATGTATCAATCTCTTAAAAAATTACCACTCAAGATTGGTATTATCTTCAGAGACAAATAAGCCCATATTCATCTTGATAATTAACATTAGGGTGGTGAAGGGGACAGATGTACAATATACTTTCTACAAACTCTTGTATACTTTATATTTTTTCTGCACTTTGCATTGCCATGAATATATTGATTTGTACTTTGTATGTACAATATATCCTAACTTTTTCATTACATTGTCATACATTGTTATACAGCGCAACAATGAACTGGGAGATAATTTTATGGTCCTTGTTTAATGTAAATAAATATGTTTATCAGTCACTGTAAGTCATTGATACATATATACAGGGTATCAATAATAAAAAAATTAAGAATATATTTATAATAAATTGGCTTCTTTCTTCAGATGTGTATTCACCCAGGGCTGCGGTCGTATATTGGTGAATGTGTAAGCTCAATTCGTCCAGTTTTGGAGAAAGGTGAAGTAGAAAAGGTTGTTGTTGCAGTACTGTCAACTGAGGGAGTCCCAGTTGAAAAGTTTGTATTTGAAATTGTGCAGAAGCCGACTAAACCTCATGAGATCAAGTACGTGCAATATATCATTTCTGTTCAGCTGTTGCCATTTCTTTTTGTACCACCATATCAAATATAATTATAATGGCTATCATATACTATGCATTTGGATTAATTTTGCTCATATGTAGTACAGTGCTCTATTTTTTTTTTTTTTTTTTTTTTTTCAACAAGTCGGTCGTCTCCCACCGAGGCAGGGTGACCCAAAAAAGAAAGAAAATCCCCAAAAAGAAAATATTTTCATCATCATTCAACACTTTCACCACACTCACACATTATCACTGCTTTTGCAGAGGTGCCCAGAATACAACAGTTTAGAAGCATATACGTATAAAGATACACAACATATCCCTCCAAACTGCCAATATCCCAAACCACTCCTTTAAAGTGCAGGCATTGTACTTCCCATTTCCAGGACTCAAGTCCGACTATATGAAAATAACCGGTTTCCCTGAATTCCTTCACTAAATATTACCCTGCTCACACTCCAACAGATCGTCAGGTCCCAAGTATCATTCGTCTCCATTCACTCCTATCTAACACGCTCATGCACGCTTGCTGGAAGTCCAAGCCCCTCGCCCACAAAACCTCCTTTACCCCCTCTTTCCAACCCTTTCGAGGACGACCCCTACCCCTCTTTCCTTCCCCTATAGATTTATATGCTTTCCATGTCATTCTACTTTGATCCATTCTCTCTAAATGACCAAACCACCTCAACAACCCCTCTTCTGCCCTCTGACTAATGCTTTTATTAACTCCACACCTTCTCCTAATTTCCACACTCCGAATTTTCTGCATAATATTTACACCACACATTGCCCTTAGACAGGACATCTCCACTGCCTCCAACCGTCTCCTCGCTGCTGCATTTACCACCCAAGCTTCACATCCATATAAGAGTGTTGGTACTACTATACTTTCATACATTCCCTTCTTTGCCTCCATAGATAACGTTTTTTGACTCCACATATACCTCAACGCACCACTCACCTTTTTTCCCTCATCAATTCTATGATTAACCTCATCCTTCATAAATCCATCCGCCGACACGTCAACTCCCAAGTATCTGAAAACATTCACTTCTTCCATACTCCTCCTCCCCAATTTGATATCCAATTTTTCTTTATCTAAATCATTTGATACCCTCATCACCTTACTCTTTTCTATGTTCACTTTCAACTTTCTACCTTTACACACATTCTCAAACTCATCCACTAACCTTTGCAATTTTTCTTTAGAATCTCCCATAAGCACAGTATCATCAGCAAAAAGTAACTGTGTCAATTCCCATTTTGAATTTGATTCCCCATAATTTAATCCTACCCCTCTCCCGAACACCCTAGCATTTACTTCTTTTACAACCCCATCTATAAATATATTAAACAACCATGGTGACATTACACATCCCTGTCTAAGACCTACTTTTACCGGGAAGTATTCTCCCTCTCTTCTACACACCCTAACCTGAGCCTCACTATCCTCATAAAAGCTCTTTACAGCATTTAGTAACTTACCACCTACCAGTGCTCTATGTATACATTAATTATAAGAAACCTTTATGGATATATAAATAATTTCTAAATTTTACGTGACTGAGAATTATTTCTGCAATGCACATGAGTTAAGTTATTTTTATATTTTGAAATATGTAATTTAAATAATAAAGGTAATTGTCATCCAGTTTCTCATGTCATTTCCATGAAACTATATTATTTCATATATTATATCTTCCTATTTTTATTTGCTCTTTCACAATCTTACATTGATGTCTTAGTGCTGAAGGGCTAGTGATCCAAGGAATTGGAGCTATCCTCACATTCAGATAAAGAATCTTTATTCTACATCCTTCCTTGGATCAAGCTTAATTATGGGTTACACCAATACATAAAGGTGGTGACCCTACAGACTTAAACAACTATAGGCCAATATCAAACTTACCATTGCTATCCAAAATCTTTCAGAAACTCGTGCACAGGAGACTATATTCATTTATAACTGCACAAAACATACTCAACCCCTGCCAATTTGGATTCAGGAAAAATAAAAGCACTAATGATGCAATCATAAAAATGCTAGATCTGCTTTACACAGCATTGGAAAATAAGGAATATCCACTAGGAATTTTTATTGACCTAAGAAAAGCTTTTGATATAGACCACGACATCCTACTCCACAAACTTGACCATTACGGTATAAGAGGCCATGCGCTTGCTTATTTCAGATCTTACCATACTAATAGGTATCAGTATGTCACCATTAAAGACACAGCATCAACAACACGGCCACTTGATACTGGAGTTCCGCAGGGAAGTGTCCTTGGTCCCCTGCTCTTCCTCATATACATCAATGATCTTCCAAAAGTATCCCAACACCTGAAACCCATTCTCTTTGCTGACGACACGACTTATGTCATCTCTCACCCTAATCTTGCCACCCTCAACGCCATTGTTAACGAGGAGCTGATCAAAATATCGACTTGGATGACAGCCAATAATCTTACGCTTAACACTGACAAAACCTACTATATTATGTTTGGTAGCAGAGCAGGAGATGCACAAATTAACATTAAGATCGACAACACTCTAATTACCAGACATAATGGGGGCAAATTCCTAGGCCTATACCTTGACAACAACCTGAATTTCAGCACCCATATCCAACACATAACCAAAAAAGTATCCAGAACAGTTGGGATCCTCTCCAAGATACGATACTACGTGCCGCAAAATGCCCTTCTCACACTATACCACTCACTTATTTATCCATACCTCACCTATGCTATTTGTGCTTGGGGATCAACTGCAGCAACACACCTAAAGTCAATAATAACCCAACAAAAAGCTGCAGTAAGAATAATCACTAAATCCCATCCCTGGCAACACCCCCCCCCCACTATTCATAGATCTAAACTTACTCCCTGTTCAGTACATCCACACTTACTACTGTGCAATCTACATCTACAGGGCCTTAAACTCCAATATCAACCTTGACCTAAAATGCTTTCTTGATAGTTGTGACAGAACCCACAGGCATAACACCAGACACAAACATCTCTACGACATTCCCCGTGTCCGACTAAACCTATACAAAAATTCAATGTATGTCAAAGGCCCTAAAATCTGGAACACCCTACCTGAGAACTCTAGAACTGCAGACACATTCATCACCTTCAAAACTACCATTAGAAAACATCTTATCTCCCTGATACACCCCGTCAACTAACTACACGAATACCACCTGGTGGTTCACACTTACATTCACTCACCCATTTGACCATAAACAGAAATATTAATCTCAATCTTAAAATAATGAATCCTGTGATACTCCAATACTGAAACTATGTACTGTGCCAAAACAAAAGAATTCACATTGCTAAACTCACAAACTAGTATTTAGTCACTTAGCCATAATACCAACTTACCTCATAATTTGTAATATTTTAAAATTAAGAATTAAACTAAGTCTGCCTGAAATGCCTAGCCATGCTAGGTGTTCTAGTGGTACACTCTGTAATCATTATTTTACTACCTGTAAACCACACAATAACCAAATTCTGTAAACTCAGCATTGTAATCCTTATAGAGAATAAACTTTGAATTTAATTGAATTGAATTGAATTCCTCAGGCTTAGTATGACCCTTATAAGTTTAGTGCTTTATCATATCTGGGCACCTTCACAGAGACAGTAATTATGTGTAAATGATGGTGACAGGGTTGAGTGAATGTGAAAGCGTTTCTTTCTTTCTTTTTTAGGTCGTCCTGCCTCGGTGGGAGACTGCTGACATGTTTTAAAAAAAAATATTTTCCCTCACCCCAGCCAGTCATTATTCTTTGCACATATTAAGGGTTGTACCTCAAAACATTGTTGCCCACTTCATTTATCTAATAAAGAACATTTACAGTACGTATACTTAGTGCCTTTCACAGACAACCTCACTAAATGAAATATAGCAAATTTATGAAAATTTGTTACTTGTGTGACTCCATATCTAATCAAAAGAAGTTTGTGTTAAATTTTTTAATAACCTGCAGGAAAGACCCGCAGTTGTTACGTATGGAAGAGGCTTTGCGAGCTTTCTGCCTCAAACTGAGCATCAGTGACTCCCTCTTGCAACCTCTTCCCCCTGGCTGCTCTTTCGCAGTTCATATCCATGTTCCTGAACATGTACCAGCTGTCATGAGTTCAGGGAATCAGTACCAGGTGAGAAGATGACACCTCTCAGTATTTAGTGCTACTGTGTTCTGCTCTATACAGTATAGGTATCAAGCTTATCAGGAAACACGTCTCGATGCAGGTTTCAGTCACGTGATAACCTACTCAGGGATTCAACAGCTGCTAGTGTCCCAGTCCTAGGGATCCATCACACTTAAAAAACCATGAGTTATCTGCGCCTCTAATATAGTTAGCTGGTGGGGTTATGCACAATACTGAACTAAACTTTGGTAAATGATACTGACAAAGTTGTTTAAAAAGACATGTGAGCAAACAGTAGGACATTTGTAATAATGTTGGTAGAATTACCGACAATATGTAAAGTAAAAGGACACAAGTTCAACTAATGTGACATTTTATTGTGGCAACATTTCGCTCTCCAGGAGCTTTGTCAAGCCGATGGTATCGGCTTGACAAAGCTCCTGGTGGGCGAAACGTTGCCACAATAAAATGTCACATTAGTTGCACATGTGTCCTTTCACTTTACTAGGACATTTATTGGAAAACACTTTGGTCCCAGGACCTAAATGATTTCTAATAAATATGTCTTAGTGTTTCCTCATATGTCTTTAAACCACAATACTAAACTCAAAAATTAATGGTAGTTTATTATAAATATCTACTGGGTGTGTGAAATATTTGTGCAATATAGCATACTGACAGTAAATACAGTAATTAGTATTTACTTGTCATGTTTGGATGACCTGATTTCTGACATGCCAGTATGCTACAAATATTTGTGCTGTATAGCTCTTGTGGCTTAGTGGTTTGGAGGGATATGTTGTGTATCTTTATACGTATATGCTTCTAAACTGTTGTATTCTGAGCACCTCTGCAAAAACAGTGATAATGTGTGAGTGTGGTGAAAGTGTTGAATGATGATGAAAGCATTTTCTTTTTGGGGATTTTCTTTCTTTTTTGGGTCACCCTGCCTCGGTGGGAGACGGCCGACTTGTTAAAAAAAAAAAATATTTGTATTAACCCTTGATCTTGTGTTAAGTGATAAATATTGTCAGGTATAGAGTACTATACATGTATTTGAACCATTTCAACTAGATTTGTATGAACCATTATTCTTTGAAAGTGGAAATTTTCTACAGAAAATAAATAAGCTATGTAATTTACATACTGTGTTTATCTTTAAAGTGCCTTAAACCCATGTACAGATTTGTTGTTCAGTCTTGTCACTTCTCTCACTCACCTTGCACTTCATCTGCCTCTTATTCTCACTGTAGCTACCACTAAAACATGATCTGACATACTATACTCGATGGAGACCAATGGTTTGGTATAAATTACTGACATGATAGAAAAATAAAAGCAAATGCAATATAATGCAATCCTTTATTGACTACATATTGTACTCCACTAAAAACAAGCACAACCAAAAGTCTGTCTATCAATCTTTTATCTGTCAATATGTAGTATAGCAAACTGTTATCACTGTGCAGCTCATCATAACTCATATACTGCTTGATTCCTTTTTTCTTAAAAAAAGTATGATCTATTAGTAAACCTCTTTCTATACATAATTCAGTTAGATATTCCCTATGTTGTTTGCATCTGTCACTTCAAGCTTAATCTACTCTGCAGTCTATAATAGTCTCTCCGACTTTTACATTTAGTTTTCCCACAACACATTTTTTTACTTAGTTCAATACTTAATAAACATTTGCATAGCACTGCCCAAAACCCCTCTTCATTCCTCGTTTCCAAGTGCATAAATACTTAACTATAACCTACTTCTTACATCCCATCTTATCCTAATCCACATAATTCTTAAACAGTTGCCACTATTGCCACCACTCCTTCTTTAGCTAACTCTAGTTCTTTCAGATACACCTGATTTAATCCCATTTGCTCCTGCTGATACTCAAATTGACAACACTATTTCTTGTCCCTTAGGATTTCCCATGGGTAGAAGCTGAGAAGGAACAAACGGAGGTGCACGACCCACACATTGTGCCTCTCAAAACACTGAGAACGGAGTTGTGCAGAATGCAACTGTATGTTGAAGAGAGCAGCAAAAAACAAAGCTCAAGCGAATAAGGTTATAATCCATGGTTGTTATAACAACATAAAATGTGTGCTCATCATCAGTAGAGGAAAATCCTGTTACTATATTTTATGGCAACCAAGATGCTATGGTGTCAAGGATGCCCTCCCCCCCAATTCTGATTTGCTAAATTTTGGAAAAAAAGATAAATGGTACTTCGGCCTCTAAGACGCTGGTAAATTTTCGAGACTTATTTTTAGAAAAAATAGCATCTTCGATGCTGTAACATACAGTATAGCTCTACAAGTCATCCATGACTAAAAGTCATTGTAATGAAAATAAGATACAATGCATAGTATAGTGAATAATACATAGTATAATGTAAGGTATGAGATCCTTTTATGGAGACAGTGTGTAATGTATATGATCCTTTTATATAAATGGTGCTCTCTTGTAAGTCTTCCTGTTTATATTTATGATTGATAACAATTCAGTGGGACTGAATTTGAGAATACTTATTTATGTGTATATACTTTATTTATTTATTCCAAAACAGTATTCTAATTATTTCATAAAACCAATAAATATTTCTGTAATTGATTTTTGTATTTTTGCAAGATGACTTTTGTTTTACTGTAAATATAAAAAAAAGGACAAACTTGCTAAATGAGCTTTTTATAAATATTAGTTTTATTGTATGGATGAGAAAAATATATAAACATTATATGATTGAATGTGTTACCTTTATTTTAGATACTGCACTGTATACTGTACATTATTTATTTTACATCACAAGAAATTATTTCATGATGACTCGGTTCTTTAAAAAAAATCAAAGTTATATGCTGTATAGTTTAATAAATGTTTTATTAACTTAGATTTATTTTAATCCAAATTGTCTTACAGAATAAACGTTTTTTTATTACATATTACACTGAAGGTGAATAAGGAGAACGAAAATTAAATATGCAAATGCTGTTAGAGGTGTTAAGTTGTAATGTCAATACTGTGGCATATATGTATGTATGTATTCCTATGTTCACAATGTTAGCAATTTGACCAGAGTGAGAACTTTCTCTTCATATTTTCCACTTACAACTGGTACCATGGGGAAGTGGAACAGAAGAACTGGAACCATGGGGAAGTGGAACAGAAGAACTGGTATCATGGGGAAGTGGAACAGAAGAACTGGTACTATGGGGAAGTGGAACAGAAGAACTGGTACCATGGGGAAGTGGAACAGAAGAACTGGTACCATGTGTCATTCCTGTGTGGTTCATTTCATCGTAGAAAATTGTATTTATTTAGTGTTAAGTAAAGACTGATGAATGTCCAAAATGATGTATGGAGATGATGCAACACATGCTGTTATCAGCATTTTCCTGTTGCCCATAGAGCTGAATGATCCAAATGGGTTTTCTTTCTTCTGCCTTGGGTATTTAGTCCATTACTATTATTTTTTTCCCCTCTGTGTTCTTGTTCCTACCCTTTGTGAGCCCCTAGCTTGCTTGCAGTGCTCTTCTTTCCTAGTCCTTAACTCCACTAATACTACCTCTACCACTACTTTACTTCCTATCCTACTACCTCTTTTGTCCCGTCCCTTTCTGCTGGCCTATATGTACTACCCCCTTTCTCTCCTTTTTGTTAGTGTGACTTTGTAAATGGTCCAAGTTGGACCAAAACGTTGTCATAAGCTCCTCTCTCCTATGTGTGGGTTATTTGTGAACAGTGGTAAGTAAAGCATGGGGAAGGTCAGGTGACACCAGGAGAGGTCAGATGATACCTTCCCCATTCTTTACTAATTCCATTGCCTCCTATTCCCCATTCTCTAAATGCTATATGACCACTGTTCCCTCAAGGGAGGATTCTTAATACTGGTAAGGGGCTTTTGATTTAAAGAATTGGACCTGTGCTCTTCTTCCTTGGACCAAATCTGAATGCCTCCCATTCCCTCACGTACTGTATGACCCCTACAGATTTACACTCCCCCATGAATATAATATATGACCACTATGAGTTTGGTGTTTCCCATGAATGCCATGATAATTTTATATAAGCAGTGGCTCATTTATCAGTGACAGCACTTTCAGCTCACAACTGAAAGACCCAGGTTCAATCTTAGACATGTAGCAATGTGTTCAGATATCCTTATTCCTGTTGTGTCTGTTCCTTTAGCAATAAATTAACTGTTGAGGGATGCATCCTAAGAGCGTAGTAGGTATACCTTAAAGAGGACTGAGCTTTGAAATGAGGTGAGGTAGGATAGTAGCTCTTTGTAAACTCAGTTTTGTAAAAGAATGTGTTTATCTTGGAGTGAACTTGTTGGTACATGGGTATAAGAAAGACAAGGTGAATTATAGAATTAATGAAGGGGAAAACAGTGGGTGGTGCACTGAGGAATCTGTGGAGACAGAATTTTATCCATGGGCAAAAAGGGGAATGTATGAGAGTATAATGGCACCAACACTCTTACGTGGGTATGAAGCATGGATTGTGAATGTTGCAACAAGGAGGAGGTTGGAAGCAACTGAGATGTCATGTCTGAGGGCAATGTGTGGTGTAAATATTATGCTGAGAATTCATAGCTTGGAGATTAGGAGGTCCAAAGTTACTAAAAATATTATCTAGAGGGGCTGTTGAGGTGGTTTGGACATTTAGAGAGGGTGGAGCAAAATAGGTTGACATGGAGGGTGTATAAATCTGTAGTGGAGGGAAGGTTGGGTAGGAGATACCCTAGGAAAAGTTGGAGGGAGGGGGTAAAGGAGGTTTTTGTGTGCAAGGGGCTTAGACATCCAGCAGGCATGTGTGGATATTAGACAGGAGTGAGTTACGGCAAATGATTTTTTGGGACCTGACAGACTGTTGGAGTGTGAGCAAGGTAACGTTTTGTGTAGAGATTCAGGTAAACCGGTTAACCAGACATGAGTCCTGGAGGTGGGAAGTACGATGCCTGCACTCTGAAGGAGGGATAGGGGTATTTGCAGTTTGAACTGAAGTATCTGTGCCCCTCTGGCAAGACAGTGATGGTAAAAATGTTTCTTCTTTTTTTTAGGTCACCCTGCCTCAGTGGGAGACAGCTAGTTTGTTGATGTATAATGTTAATGAAATGATATTTACTAGTTAAATTATGCACCCCATTCCCATCCTATGGGGGTAGTAAAAATTAACAATAATAATCTTTATTTCTCTAAGATGTACTGTACATGTACTATACATGTACTAAAAACATAAAAGTTTGTATACAGACTTAAAGAAAACTGTTAGGTATGAAATATTGGTATGTAAATTTATGTGGGTTTCTCAAGGAAAGCCTAACTAACCTTGCCCAAAGTCCTACATTTGATGTAGACTTTCTTTTTGACATTTTAACAGAAACTAACAGTACCAACTTTGATTTTAATTTTCTTCTTGCACTCTCCCCTACCCCCATGGCCTGGTAGGCAACTCTCGTCTCACACACTTGAGTGTCTGTGGTTCAATCCCTGGCTGGGTGGAAGCATTAAGCATGTTTCCTTACACCTGCTGTCCCTGTTCACCTAGCAAGTAGGTACCTGGGTGTTAGCCAAGTAGTGTGGGTT